TATTCTCTCCAGAGAGAGAACTGATGAACTCTTGAGTGTAGACTAAATTGTGTCTTTATTTTTCTTTTAAATTTACTTTTCGTGTCTGTGTGTGTATGTCTGTGTGTATGTTTTCTTTTGCAATATGGTTAATATGGAAATATGTTTTGCATGACTTCACATATACAAACTGATGTCAAATCTCAAGGAGGAGGAAGAGGTGAGTCAGGGAAAGTGAAACTCAAATTTTTTTTTAATTTTTCTGCATATACAAATAAAAATACATATTTTTTTAAAAAGTTTGCCAGTTCTCTCTCTCTCTCTGGAGGTAGATAGCATTTTTCATCATGAATCTCTGGAACTGTCCTGGATCACTGTATTGATCAGAGTAGCTAAGTCTCACAGTTGATCCTCATTACAACATTGCTGTTACTATATGCAACACTCTCCAGATTCCGCTCTTCATGTTGCATCAGTTCATGTAAGTCTTCCCAAGCTTTTCTGAAACCATCCTGCTTTGTCATTCGTAGAGCACAACAGTACTCCATCACAGTCATATACCACAGTTTGCTTGGCCATTCCCCAATTGATGGGCATCCCCTTAATTTCCAATTCTTTGCCACTACAAAAAGAGCTGTTGTAAATACTTTTGTACAAATAGGTCCTTTTCCCTTTTCTTTGATCTTTTTGGACCTAGTAGTGGTATTTCTGGGACAAAAGGGAGGCACAGTTTTTAGTTCTTTAGTCATAATTCCAAATTGTTCTCCAAAATGGCTGACTAGTTTACAACTCCAGGAGGAGTGCATTAACGTCCCTATTTTTCCACATCCCCTGCAGCATTTGTCATTTTCCTTTTCTGTCCTGTAAGGCAATCTGATAGGCCTGAGGTGTACCTCAGAGTTATTTTAATTTGCATTTCTCTAATCAACAGTAATTTGGAGCATTTTTTCATATGACTAGTACTACCTTTGATTTTTTTCTTCTGAAGAACAGAATTTCTCAAAAAAAAAAAACAAAAAACCATGAACTGTTAACAAATAACTTGAAAAAGTTATACAACTTATGGAATACTATTGTGCTATAAGAAATAATGAGCAAACAGACTCCAGAAAAACCTGGGAAGACTTGTATGGACTGATGCTGAGTGAAGTGACCAGAACCAGGA